AAGAACTTGACAAAGTTGAACACCACTTCTCATGTACATTACAGAAAACTTCTTTTTTTTTTCATTCACATCAAAAATGAATTTTTGATGTGAATGAAAACAATCTTGTAAAAATGAATTACAAGATGTCAATTTTGTAGCGTTTGATTTAAAGTGCGCAAATGCTGTATTTGGTCTGCTGTCAGGTCATGCAGGAAAAAGGAAATGGAGAATGTGGAAAGTTAAGAACTCTTGGAAGCCTTAATTATTGGTATGAAAAATACAGTGTCAAAAATAACTTTATAAAATCTAGCATGTAACAATATATGAATGTGATACATCCAAGGATTCTCTATCTAGAGAAGAGTCCAGATACTCTAATTCAGCATTTAGTACCACCTGCTAAATTACATTTTTTGATTAGAGTTGTATCTACTTTAGGATGTCTACTTATAGATATTTGGCTTGAATTTGATGATTGGCTGAAAACTAAAAGTGTTCTTCAGAGAGGATATCAAGGTAGAAGTTGGGACAGGAATAATTCTAACAAGATCCTGAAAAATTTGGATGAACTTGATAAAGTAGTAACATCTCAGGTTCCTCAACTGACACCTATAATTCAGTGTTTGAAAGACTGACACCTATAATTCAGTGTTTTAAAGTAATGAAAGATTCCTGTTTTTGTCAGATTCTTTTGATAGATTAAAAAATAGCATTTACTGTGTTTAGAAATTCTTTCCTATCTACCAAGAGCTTGCACAGGCTCTACAGAAAAAATTTTTATTAAGCTGGAAGTTTCACATTTTGCTGTATCATGTTTAGCCCTTTGTCAAACACCATAACTGTGGCCTAGCTAAGTTTGCTGAAAAGTGTGGAGAGGCTATTCATTCTAAATTTAAACCTTCCCCGAGTAGTTATAAGTACATCAGCGTCCGCCACTTGTTTCATATTTTAAATATTCTTGGCTTATAATGATTTTTTATCGCTCTAATATTTTTCAACTTAAATTAGCCGAATTAAACACAATCAGAGTTTTACTATTACTTAGTAATGGATCAAGAAGAATCTCGAATTTCACATAACAGTTCTTTAAAATACTTGAACATCAAACTGTGCAGCTCATTTAAAAAATCAACCATAGCTTCATCATTAGTATGGAAATACTATGGTCAAATATTGACACAAAATTGTAAAGTTATCGACGATGAACATTATTACTGTAGCAAATGTTTTTTGATAGAAAAAAAAAAGTCAAGTCCTCAGGTGCAGGTCATTTATCGAAAATTCACAAGGTTAAGATTTCCACATCAAGCAGTACTTTGAAAAATCATCTATTTCTTGTTCACAAAGTAGTAACAGACAAACCTGCAGTTGAAGTGAAAAATGATCAAATTTTAAGTAGATGGTGCAGTAGCTCTATAGCTAGTTCATCAAAATATGATATAAGTCGTGATCTTGTCTTTTGGTTTTCTACAGATCTACTACCATTTTCTCATGTTGATAATGAAGGGTTTAAAAAGTTTTTTGAAAAAAACATTGGGTTAAAACTTCCCACAGGTTCTGCTGTGAGTCAAGTAGCATTACCTGATATGTACAAATCTTTAAGGCGACCAGCATTGGAAAGTTTAAAAGATATTGATGCAGCAACAATTTTATTTGATAGTTGGACTGACAAGTACAAAAAAATTAATTATATGGGTCTGAAGTGTTCCATTATTAATGAAAACTGGCATAAAAAAAATTTTAACTTGGCTTGTTTGCCTTTAGAAAGTCATACAGGTGAAAATTGTCATAATTTTACCAAAGACATTGTTCGAGAATTTTTTCAGAGGCGTTGTAGTGATATGAGGCTACATACTGTGCACGACGGTGCAGCGAATATAATGAAAACATCTAAACTTTTAGGCTCAAAGGATCCACAACATTGTCTGGCTCATATCTTGCATTTAATATTGACATGTGATGGCATAAATAGTTGTACTGAAACAAAATGTTTGTTAGAAAAATGCAGACAAATTGTAACCTGCCTGAACTTCAAGTCAACTTTACTTTTAGAGGAATCACATTGTGAAGCAGACATAAAATTATACAACAATCTTTGAATCCTTTCTCAAGTGAAAGACATTGATGATTTAGAGCAGCAATTTCCCATTCAAATTTATGATGAAGCAAACATGGTTGAAGCAAACAATTTAGATATTGCTTGTAAAGAAAAATTTGATGATAATTTCATAAAAAGATACCATAGAAGTCTGAAACAGCAAATACGCACAAGATGGAACAGTGCTCTCTTTATGATAGGATCAATTAACTAATTATTAGATCCTGTAGAAATTTTACTCAAGAAATGTGGTAGACAAGACCTTTGTTTAGATAATGAAAAACAAGCTTTGATTTCAGAATTGGTTAAATTTTTAAAACCATTTGAATCATTAACCCATGTGATCAGTGCTGGAAATTCGCTTTCTATTTTGCCATTAGTTAAACACAAATACTAAAACTACTTTCAATTAATTCTTGT